AGACTGGCTCTTTAATGTAGTGTCGATAGATTATTTAGACTGCAGGTTGCCTGAGAAATGGGAAGCAGCTAAAGGAGGAAAGCTTTATGCCTTAGACTGGTCCGTATGTAACTGCTTTTATACTAGAGAAAATGAAGGTTTGTAGTTCATAATGGAAATGTGCATGAATTATGGAAATGGGGATATAGTGGTTGGGGAAAAAAATGGCTTGTTAACACTCATTTTATGAGGTCAAAGTTTGTTTAGTGACCCTTCATGTTGAATTTCTCAACTTTCAAGCGTTTTTGTTTTATAAATACAGTGTTCTCAGTCTTATTTCTAAAATAATGAGTATTTACAACTTCCTTGATTTAAAGCTTTCAGATGAGAATACGCTGAAAGTGTGGCAGAAATGTCAAAATGTGAACACTTCGGACTTCAGTCTGTCTTTGACTTTCAATGTACTTAAAACAGGGTGTAAGTTAACCTTGATAGGGGGAGTAGAATTCTTGCTGTGCTTATTTTTACTCATTAGGACTCCTGAGGATCCAGCAGCAGAGCCTCTGCGCTCCTCTCACGGTGGTAGGAAATGAGGTATGATCTAAAGGTGACATATCTGTATTTGTCCCATGCAGGCAAATGTTTGTACCAGTTTCCATGTCAGCACAAGATATAGCTGTGCAAAATCACTTGAAGAGATCAGAGCAGAAGGCTTTTAATCTGGCTCCTTAGGTTTTGGAGTTTAATCTAGAAAGGAGCTTTGTTGCCTAGTGACAGAAGGTACTCAAAACCCCTTTCTGCTGCTGCTGCTGGACTGATCTAGCAGACCTAAAAGACTGGGCTCTTTCAAGATAATTGGAGATGAGGTGGAAGAGACAGTGTTATCCTCTATTGTTCCAAGTCACCCCATGTTAGAGTGCTCACCTAGGAGGTGTGAAACCTGTTTTTTAACTCCCTCTACTGCCTGGCTTGCAGGAGGGACTTTAACCTAGGCCTTTCATATCCCAAGGGAGTTCTCTAACCACTAGTCTGTTGTGTATTGTGGAGTGAGCTTCTGTCAGTCTCTCCTGTTTGAAGGTGTTCTCTTTTTCATGATCAGCTATTTTCATGATCAGCTATCATACATACAGCCTGGGGAGTTCCCCTCTTGAAAGCACAGAGGCGGAATGGGATCTTGGGGTCATTATTGACTCCAAGATGAACATGAGCTGCCAGTGCCAGACTGCAGCCAGCAAGGCCAGCCATACTTTGTCATGCATCCAAAGATGCATTTCAAGCTGGTCCAGAGTGGTGATACTCTCCCTCTATGCGACTTTGGTCAGGCAGCAGTTGGAGTACTGTGTCCAGTACTGGGTGCCGCACTTCTGTGAGGCCCGTCCCGAGGAGGCCAAGCTGACATCCCAGGGTGGGGGTCAGCTTCGCAGAACCCGGAGGCCATGGGATAATGACCTAATGCATCTGCTGATCTGCTGCAGATAACAAAAAGCGGAACTGCTTTAAGTAAATAATGGCCCGAAATAACTGCCCTGGAAAAGGGAACTGTGGCAAAACCTGAGGTAACTCTGCTTTGCAGCATATGCTGAGGCTTGCTCTAACCCGTAAAAGGTGATAAGGCAAGGTTTGTGTGATTGGACGATCCCATGGGGATGGGAGGCAGAAAGGTATAGAGGTCATAAGAACAAAGCCTAGGATGGAACTACTTTGGGGAGGACAAGGCTGAGGACACGATAAAGGAGGTAGTCTCGCCACCTTGGACGCAGGGTGGGGTTCCCGAGACCTAGCAGGTAATACATGGGATAGGGTTTGGAGCGCCTCTTCCTCCAGCCTGACGCACTAGCAGTTTGTAGGCATGCTACAATAATAATTTGGGTTGTGTGTATACTGCTTTCTTTGCAATAAAGAGTTTTAACTGGGTTTTACCTTGGCGTGTAACTTGTGGGTAACTCAACTTTCCCCTTGGGAAGGGAGGGAGCCCCGACAAGTGGTGGAGAACACGGGCATGAAAGACCCCTCCTCGAGGGCGGCCTGGCCAGCTGTCTGAGGAGTAGTGGATATGTTCACGTGCTGGGGAAAAACCATGAGTCTGGTGGAGCTTAGTAAAAGAGTACATTCATGGGTGTCCTCTGGGGTGAGGGACCTTAGGTCACTCGCTGCAGTGGAAGGCATTTTTGCCCAGTGGCAAATAGGCAGAAAACATGGGAAAACTGTGTTGCTAAGTCCTCACCATTTCTTTGTTGTGGGAAATGGTGAGGACTTTGTTGCCATCAGAGGATCCAGAACCAGGGGGGTGGGGACTAGAAGTGGTGGCAACCGATTTAGTCGGGGACCAGGGTGACAAACCTGCCCTCTCCGTTCCGGAAATAAAAGAGGAGACAACCTCCCAGGAGGGAGGATCCCCTCTAGTGGAATCAGAAGTAAGTACCATTATGAAGTCTGGAGTGCAGCAGGATCAACACTGGCGGTCTGGCCTACAGCAATGGGAAGTGACTCCTTGGAAGCCAGCAGACCTCCAAACTGAACTGGCAGGCTGGGAAAAAGATGCAAAAGAAACTTGGCCACTAATCAAGTAGTGGCCCAGCGGATAGATAAGTTCTTCACCGCCCGAGAGGCAATGACAGTAATAACAAAAATTTTCACAAGGAAATGGTATAAGTTAGCACAAGCCTCTTGGAGAATAGATTTGAAGATGTCAGGGTATTATGCTTATCAGTTAATGCGTTTGCATTAAAAACCTTGGACACATGGGAATTGGCTAAAGATCAGCACACTAGAGAACCAAGGTGTGTAGACTGGCTGGGGGCGGTGTGACAAGTAGAGATGTGTTCATCGAGGCAGCTTTGAAGGGACACTTAGAGACAGACCCCCTGTGGGTCATAGTCACTGGGACTGCCTGGGAAAGCACCCTTCCTAAAGGGTCAGGTCCCTTGCAAGGCCTTTTGCTGCAATGATACGACACCTGGACGGACCATCCCCTAAAGGAGATAATAAAAGTGTTGCAAACTCTTAACTAATTTGACAGGGGAACACCCAAAGCTGAAGCAGGCGGCTATAGTAAAAGAGATGTCAGTGAACTCGAAGAAAATTCCCCTCCGACAACTCTGGATTGAGCTAAGGAAGAAGGGGGATCCCTTTACAGCAAATTGATGGGAAACCCACCAGTGACTTGTATAGACTTTGGAGAGAGAATAACTTTGGGGAAAAAGATAAAAACTGCCGTGCAGTTGTGGCGGTCCCCTCAGCCGCCACCACCGCCCCCCCCCCCCGCCCCCCGTAAGAGCCTGATGCTCTGGTCAGGCACTTTCCCAATTTGAAGACTTTACACCTAGACTGGGGGCCAGGGAGGGGATGCAACAGACGCCCCTTTCCTCATTCCCGATGGGGTGAATCCCCAAGGATTCTAGGAGGTACCTTTTTGTCCAAATTAAGATTGAAGGTGGGGGGGTGGCAGGGTGGTTCCTGATGGATACAGGGGCAGAGGTTACAATCTTTCAATGGGAACCCCCCCCCCGAATAGGTGCCCCATACTACTAAAAGGGGTAGGGGGGGGAGCAATTAGAGGATGAGAAATTAAAGCTTTGGTAAAGTTTGACTACTTGGCACCCAATATGGATTTTAGAAACCAATGTCCTGAGTCACTGTTATAGACAGGTCCTGCCAGAGTGATGGCCCTAGAAAAGGAGGTTCCCATGCCCATGGATGGGCCACAGGTCTGCTCAGAGCGGGATGTGAGGAATACTGAAGTTGAAATACAAGTCGAATTAGAAAAGGGAGCAAAGCCACGTTTTGTGCATCCCTGTCCCGTGATGCCTGAGGCTGAAAAAGGGGTGAGTGAAATGGTGCAGGGACTATTGCAGGCCGGATTGGTGGAGCCCACCATTTCTCAGTGGAATTCCCCTTTATGGCCCGTTCAAAAGGCTATTGGGAAGTGGAGAATGGTGATAGAGATAGGAGCTTTCCATTTTACCGTAATTGAAGAGTCCTATTCTCCCCAGCACCACCTGGGGTGACAAGGAACAATGGTAATAAGCTGATGGAGAATAGGTTTTGATTAGAGATCAGGAAGCAATATTTTACAGTTCGGGTGGCCAAAATTAGGAACCAGCTTCCCAGCGAAGTGGTCCTCGCCCCTACCTTGGGCAAATTCAAGAGGAGGTTGGATTGATCACCTGTCTGGGGTCTTGTGAACCCAGCATTCATTCCTGCCTGTAGCAGGGGGTCAGGCTAGATGATCTGTTCAGGTCCCTCCTGACCCTAGCTACTATGAAACTATTCGCTGGAACAATGAGCTGAACCTAGATGTCTGACATCCCAGCCCTACCCACTGAGCTACAGAGTCAGTAAGTATGCAAATAAATGAATGAAAAAAGGATTTTAAAAGATGAGAGAAATTCCAAGATTTCCATCTCAAGTTACATCAGTAATTGGGGGGAAAATAAATAAATATATTTGTTGTTGTTCAAAATACACTTTGTTTCTAACTGCCCATTTCAAACACCTTATTTGGGTAACTGTAATCCTGGTTTAAAATAAAGGAAACAAAGAAATATAGGTAGGTGTCTGTATGTTATCCATTAAGATCAAAACACCCTAACCATCACCAGTGTTTCTGCAGAAGCACCAATGAGATACTTCAGTTACTTTCATCCAGAGTAGGGCTGGCTGAAGGGAGACTGGTCTTTCACAGATAGGAAAAAAGGATGAGCAGCTGCTTTCAGCCTGATTTAGCTGGGTAAATCTCAGGCCCCTCTGCTTGCTTTCTCTCATTGCTGTTGAACTGAGAACACACCTCTGGCCAGGGCACTGTTTGATTTGCATGGTGGGACTTCTTGAAGGCTGATCACACTCTTGTAGCTCAACACCTTGTTATTGGTGTGGTTTTGCTCTACAGCAAAATGACTAATTTTAGAACAGCTTGTAGGCTTAAGTGCGGAACTTCGTGTGGGGGCTTTTTTTCAGTTTATTGAAAACACAGCAAACAACTCCCATATGCTGTCAAAAAGATACGCATCACTTCATTCTCAGCCATAAACATGTTCATAGAAGAAATCTATTTAACTTTTTGCCTGTTTACAACATGGAAATGTCTGAAAACAATACAGAACAACCTACTTCAAGTCAAACAGGAGGTAGGGTGCCCTGAGTTTTAAGGGTCATATTTGAGCTGGCTTCTTACCTGATGTTTTAAGGCCCTGTCCTGCAAATTCTTAATGGTGTGAGTAGTTTCTTACAATAGTATAACTACTTAGGTAAGCACAAATACTTGCAGGCCTAAGTGATTGTAAGATCCGGTAAATTTTGTATGTGGTAAATCAACCCTGAATTATGACGAGTTCTAAAATTATGTTTAAAGTCTAATGCTCAAGCTTGTTTTGTTGTAGTGCTCCAAGATATGAGTTGTTGCCTACATATATGTGAAGACACAGTCCCTGTCCCAAAGAGCTCACAATCCAAAAGGGAGGAAAATCTAAACCCTTTGCTGTACAGTTCTGACTCTTTGAAATTAGCTTTGGCAACAAATGCATATTCCAGAAAATGTACAAGTATTTAAATATATTCAGTCTGCAGTAGAAACCACCTGTCTACCCCTTAACAAAGGCAGGCTGATAATAGGCAATAGGTAGCCCTTGCTGAGAGATGCCTGGTAGGGAACTTGACTCATCACTCTCCGACCACACTATTAAAAGAATAAAAACACCAAAACAGTAAACACCAAAAATGTGAGAGCTAACTGGCCAGACCTGCTGTACTCAAGTGAGCAGTCCAACAGAGATTTTTCAGATACATCACTCAGAAGAGCAAAACTTAGTTCTGTGTTAATAAATCAGCTAGGCTGAACAAATATAGGTTCTCACTTGTAAATGAAAACGTAAGAGATGAGTGAATGGACAACCTTTGACTATCCTGTAACTGTGAATTGGTGTCATCCTTCACCTCTATCCACACAGATAACTTCTGATTAAGGTGATATTTACCTATCTATGGTAGGCCTCCTTCTACTGATCCTTGTTAGGACTTTACCCTGACAATGGTAGGAGTTCTACATGGGGAAATATGGTAGAATAGCACTATATGTTCTTCCAGTTTTTCAAAGAGGGTATTATTCAGTTACAATGATTTGGGGATATTGCTTCATGAGAAGCCAGACAGCTACACATGCCAGTAATAGTAGAGATGGCCTTAAAACTAGAATGGTGATACAGTACTGGTCGCATGCTGGTTTGTCCCATTCTGGATACCATCCAGAGTTGTCTGTAAATTAAAAAAAAAAAAAAAGTGAATTATTTTCAAACGTAATTGAACTTTAAGCAACAAATTCTAGATATATTGGTTTTATGATACGTACATATGATTTTCTTACGCTCTGGATTTTCTAAAAGAGGAAGAAAAATAACACATTTGCCAGTTAGAAACAATTTTAATGAACAATTTTAGGTATGTAGTGGGCTTGGTGCTTTTCGTGCCTGAGTAAGAAAAACTTAATGACTGTACTGAATAAAATGTTGAAAATACCAAAATGACAAAAAAAATATATAGCTAGCTTATTTCTGCGGCCTTGGTTGAGAGAGAAGTTGCCTATATCAAACTTGCTTCCTTCTCTTCTATAGTGGCTGATGTACAAGGAATAGAATTTGATGGTTGTGATATAAAAGTACCACTACTGCTATTCCTTCTTTTTTTTTGGATGAGCTCCCCACCCCTGCCTGCTGCTGCTGCCAGCAGGAGGGGCTGCATGCCATGTGGGGGGGGGGTCCCTGCACCCTACAAACCTCACACACCATGTCCCCACCAGCATACCCCGTGCCCTGCCATACACATTCCCCACCCCACCCCAATATATGAGTGAGACTTTATTTTTGAGTTGTTCTGCAATCCCTTTTATATATAGCACACAAGCACAAATGGCACATATTTTTTGTAACAAAATTAAATATGTTATAGTAGGTGTTTGACTTCTAGTGTGTGATTTATTTTTTTTCTGGTTCTAAGATGACAACCCTCCTCCAGAAAAGTATTTCTGGGGGGTAAGGGGAGGGACTTCTGGTGGCAAAGGTCTGGGGCTAGGAGGTGGGACTTCCAGTCCCAATATGGCAACTAGGGAGTGGGGCAACTGTCAAGGAACGGGGCTACTTACACAGCCCCCCGACAGCTTGCCAAAACTTAAGCAGCCCTCTGCCTAAAATAATTGTCTGCCCCTGGACTAGTGTATATGGGGTGCACCCTCCACCCTTTAGATTCAAGCTTGATCACCAAAGCCAAGAATGTGAGATCTAAAAGGCCAGAATGAGAGCAAATGAAGAAGAAGCCTGACTATAGCCCAACAATGAGGGTACTTTTCTGGGAATGGAAAACTTCTCCCTTTCCAGTCCCTGACCCCAGAACTGTGTATATATGTTGCATTAAATCATAATTGCTTAAAAAACAAAAATAACCCTTGGCAATAGGGCCTGGAACTTGGGTCGTTCCCCCACCAACAGGAACAGGCCAAGCTATTTGCTCACTCTCCTGGCAGCTTGGCTCTTGCATTCCTTCCTGCACAGTGGCCCAGCTTCAGCAAGTGGGAGCATATCTCCAGATCAGCCTGCCCGTCAGTCTAGTTGTCACACTTCTCAGGTATGGACAATGTGGATTTCAGTCCCCTCAGAGGAGGACATACAGCCCATGTCTTCCACTTCTGGACAAATACTTTTAACCATCATATATTGTGTGAATGATAGACACTACCAGCACCTCTGGTTGTGCTTGAGACTGACTGTAAGGTGGATCACTTTGTACTGGATGCAGTGCTGTCAGCTATATATCACGTGTGTTCTGCAGATGCCTAACAGATCCAGAACTTAGCCTAACTTTAGTCACTTCCGGTCTGGACCATCCTAGACTCCAGGCAAGAGTTAGGCACCTATGACCTGGATCACTCAAGCATGTGCACAAGCCTGAGCAGGAATGCCAAGGAATCTTTCCAGGACAAAACCAGAAGCTCCTAACAAGATGTTTTTTGTGGCCACTGCAGCAGGGTTGGTTGATACTGGATCCATTTGTGGGGCTTGGCTGCCTTAGTGCAGTTTAGGTGCCTAGAAGAATGATTGGATCTAGCCCAAAGTGACCTCCTTCTCTGTCAACCCCACATTCCTAAAAGCAGTAGCGTAAGGATGGGTGTACGAGCAGGGCATGAGTCCCAGGTACTGCCTAAGTGGGCGCAGGCACCAGAGGGGAGCGGTTGCTACCTCATCCTTCTGTTCTGCCCCTCCCCTTCACCCCTACTCTTTCCAGCTCCAGTCTTGGGGGCAGCAGGGGTGCAGGGTATCCTGGGAAATGTAGTTCTGTCAGGCACTAGTGGGCAATAGATGAAGTTTACTGCTGCTGGTGATGGTGGGGGGAAATGTCACCCCATTTTTTTGCCATGGAAACAGGATTTTTTGCCAGCTAGACATGGGTGAATGTCACAAAATATAAAATAAAGCCATTTCAGCTGTGGCTACTGTGCACTGCCCATGCTGGAGCCTCTGGAGCCAGAGTCTTGTAAAAAGGTACAGGGGGAAGAGGGAGGGAGGACTGGCCTGAGCACAATCCTGGCCGGTTATGCCTCTGCCCAAGAGAGCGCTGAAAGCATACACCATCCTGCTGCTTTAGAGAGTAGGAGATAGTTTCCTTATTTCTCTCTCCCCTTCATGTGTACCACTACAACCTTTGACTTCATTCTAGGTTCTGAAGTATATTTAGAATCTATATCCTGTGACTTGAATCCACTGACACTACCACTTCTTCGTGGCCTTTTTCTTTTCTATCTGACATCCTTCAGGAAGTAGCTTATCCTTAACTTACCACATAAGTTGTCTAAGCATATGTCACCAGGACAGTTACTGCAAGCTCTTCCTGTTTGATATGGTTTTCTTCCATAATTCCCCCTGCAAAAAGGAACAACTTTATTCCACTGTTATTCTTGTTGGAAAGACATTTAATGATTTGTGTTTTTAATTTTTTTTGGAATGCTTTATTAGTAGGAAATACTCTAAAAAAGCCCTTTTCCCAGAACAATCAGGGAAGTGGAAGAAGCTAGGAATAATTAGCTTCTGTGTTAACACAATTATCTTATTTCTCAAGTTTGACATGGCATTCTTAGTATGAAGTAGCTATAAACTTTGAAAGCTTGATGTATCTTCCCACAGATCTCACAGTAGCTTACAGATACAGACACAAGAATCACATGTTTTTGCACTTTTAAATGAAGTGGACTCCCTGTCTGATGCTGGGGGATCGCCTACTGCTTAACCTTGGAAGAGCCTAAACCCTCTAGACCCCTCACTTTGCCTTTAAGTGGTACCTCTATGCACGCCCAGCAGAACCCCCATCTTGATAGGGCTGAAAAGTCACATTCTTAGCTCACTCTAATGCCCATTTGGGATCCAGATCCTAGGCATGTCTCTGAAGGGGCACAATCCAAAAGCCATGCTCAGAGCACAGCTAATGCATGCCAACATCTTCTTATAAAAAGCTGTTAAGAACAATAGAAATGTCATGTTGAGTCAGACCACATGTGCTGTTTGCTCTCATAATGGCAGAGAGTGGATGCTGAGGGTGGAGGGTATTCATATTACTCAATATTGTAGCTCAGAGTAGATGCTATAAGCTAGTTTTGTTTGCAGGTTCCTCTCCCTCCCAGTAGAGTACTCTAACAACTAAGAGTCATGCTCTATACTTTGCGCTTCCTCTGGCCCAACAAATCTCAAATTCTTTGCTGTCCAGTGGCCCAGCTTTAACAGGGATGGAGAATGTCCCTGTACAAAGTAGCCCATAGCGTAGTGGTTAGGATGCTCACCTAGGAGGTGGGAGACGTGCTTAAACCTCCTCCCTTTGAGACTGAAGAGGGAATTAAATCTAAATCTTTCTCTTCCTGAGCAAGTGCTCCAACCGCTAAACTACAGTAGAAAAAGGTGGTCTCCTCTTCCTTCTTTTTAAATGGTAACAGTGAGCTTTGCCTGTCTTCAAGAGAACATTCAGGAAGTGAATCCTAGCAGGAAGGAGACATCCCTGCAACACTGGGTAATTCCCTAAAGAGAGAGTCGGCAGGGATTTCAGATGCATCTGCCCTTCGTGTTTCCACATTGGCTAGCTCTAACTGGGTATATGGGATTCACTGCTTAGCATGCTGTCTGTTCTGGATCCCACTGTAAGGCAGTTAACAGTCCCTGGGCACCATAGAAGGACCCCAGCAAGGAACAGTGTTCTGGATTCCATCCCATTGGCCAAGCATCTATAATCTTTTTTGCCCTAAGCTAACTGACATAGTGGCATATATCCAAGGGAGGTACAGTTTGATTTTAGCATTGGATTAGCGAGAGAGTAAAGAATTCAGGTTTGTAAGAGTATCTGAAGTTTCAGCAGCAATTCAGGGGAAAGCCAATAAGAAGCTCTCTTGTACAGCATCCTGAGAGGTCTCTTGACAGAGGTATTTTAGAAATCTAGCATACTGCATGAACATTAAAGCATTACTGCATTACAACCATGGTTGGCCACTTTGGGAGAAAGCAGTCTTATAGAGAGAATTTTGGTACTTCCAGCATCCCTTGTGCCCTTCATGGGCCTCACTCATTTAATAGATTTCATAGACGTTAGGGCTGGAAGGGATCTCATAAGATCATCAGATATTGGTTCCAATTTTTGGCATTCTTCCTGGCCCTCTAGAGTTCAGACTGCGTAGAGCAGGGGTGTCAAAAATGCATCCATGGTGCTCCTAGAGAAGCTGGAAATTCAGGGGCAGGGCAAGCAGGTTTGTGGCTTGCTACTGAAATCCCAGCTACAAAGCCTTGTTGGAGGTACATCAGGAGCGGGGGAGGGGCAAGCAATGCTGTTTGCAGCTGCTGGGTCCAGGTTGCAATACTCCTGGGGGCTGAATCCCCAGGGTCTGATCGAGTTCAGAGGCATGGATGAGTCCCTGCTCTAGAGAATGCCCTCAACTCTTTGAGCATTAGCCAAATGGGCTTCTCTGACACTGCTGTGAACTGCTACTCTCAGATATGGGCTTGTTAAATAAATTTTAATGGAATGACTTACGCTGGCCCATAGTTGCAAATAAAATGTGCTGCATTAGTTCCTCCAAAACCTTCTACTTTAGGGCAAAAGTGAACAGCACAGCCAACTTTGTAGCTGTTATCCCAAACAACCTGAAAAGAAATGGATGTCAGGTACTACAAAATAGAAGACTTAACACTTGTGGGACTACACAAAGATTCGCTGTTGTTATTTATGCCACAAACAGAGAATTGACAAGACAGAAGTATATCCTGAGAACTCTTTACAAAGCTAAGCTATAGCTACTTAAACACATTAAGTTCATAACAACACTGACAAACAGGGATTCTTTCAACTGCAGTATTTGAATGTGTTAATGTTATGTGGGCAGACAAAGTCTTTCGGTAGAGATGACATCTTTTATTGGAGATGATATCTTTTATTAGACGAACTAAAGTGTTACAAAAAAGTTGTTCTTTGCAAGCTTTTGGACACAGCCATCCTTCGTCCAGCCAAAAAAAGAGAAAAAATTGAAAATGGTGAGAGATATGAAAGATGGTCAGAAATCTCTCAGGTATGAAAAAAGCCAGTCTTTAGAAGGCAGCTCTGCAGGAATGCAAATATAGAAGGGTTACAGGAAACAAAAGCAAGTTGTTTCCTGTAGGTATCAGATGTCAGCCAGGCTGGCGGGGGCATAAAAGCGAAGTTAAAAATTAGTCCTGGTCATTGAAATTGGCTTTTATGCTATGTTTTTAATATTATGTGATGAGAAGAATGTTTTGACTCGGTGGTTAGTTTTTTCTTGCACGTATAGAAGTCAGATATATTTAATTTGTCCTGGTTACTTTATAGTGACCTACAAACTATCCTCTATATGAGGAAAACGGTGTTTTTTTCAAAGATATGATGTGTAATAAGGGCCAAATTCTGCTTTTATATCTCTTGTCTCTTGTACTAAGGTTAATTCCCCTACATGCATTCAGTCACTTTGGGAGAGAGAGACCTAAGAGTATAATTTGTCCCAAGTCTCTAAAGTTACAATTTTTCCAGCGTGAACAAAAGGTTTTTAGCTGCATTCTGGCTTCCTGCGATCACATGAATGTGACTTTCACAGAAATTAAAGCCGGAAGGGACCACTGGACCATCTAGTCTGACCTTGTACAGCACAGGCCACATGCTTCATCCATTACTTTGTATCAAGCCCAAGCTGTACTTAAGTCAAATATTTCAGTTCTTAAAAACAAAACAGAACAAAATGTTGCATGCTGTGGGTAGAGAACAGGAAAATTCATGGCATCCCAAAATTCCTGCAATGGCAGGGAACTGTTTAGGTGAGAGATGCCCAGATAATCCCAGCAAAAAAAAAAAAGAAAAAAGAAAAACCGCTAAGGTTCTTGTCAGTTCAACCTGGGAGAAAATTACCTCCTGATTCCAAATTTGGCAAACTGGAGCCACACCAGAATGTCATACTTGCCAAGTAGCTAAGAGGATACTCTGCATTGCATAGAGCACAAGCCCATCCAATTCAGCATCCTGTATCCAGCTGTGGCCAATCTCTGATGGGTCAGAGGAAGGAGGCATGGGGAACCCAGAATCATGCACCCAGGTAAAACATTAATTCCCAACCTCTGCTAGAAGCAAGATTACTTCCCTTCCACTTGATATACCTGCATCCAAGGGCTTATTAACCTTTTTTTGCTACAGCATTGCTCATGCTAGGGGCATTATGCATGATGAGCCCTTACATTTTTAAGTCACTGTTTTCCAAGGTGAAGTTTCCCATTCTGCAGAGAGATTCTGAATTGTGGGTTCCTAGGTATGTTACCTCTTGGCTGTATTAAAATGTACCTTGTCAGACTGACAGCCTAACCAAGCAAGCCAGAATACTCTAACAGTACCTTTCCCTCTCACATTTTGTAGTGCCACCTCCAGCCATTCCACCTGCCAAATTACCTTGCAAAGATTTTTACATCCACTTCTAAATTATGCATACCCATTCACTGATCTCTCTCCATTGGCAAAGACCTTTCTTCGTGAAAATAACTTCCACACTTTATTTTAAATAACTTAAAATATCTTTAGCAGATTTGTTGCTCATGGAAAAGTGTTACAATGTTCTTGGAAGCCAAAGTCCTTTTTAAACTATAAACACAGCTTAGGTAATGGGAATGCAAGCTCCTCCTTACTGCTGAAGGAGTTGTATTGTATTGCCTGAAAAGCCCACTTCTTGTTGTAAGCAATTTAGTCTTGATCCCTGCTTGATCACCAATCTCTTTGCTGAGGCTTCCAACAAAAGAATGACTCATGCAAACAAATTCACATTAGATTTAGACCATAGAAGGCAATATGAGAATTTTGTATGCAAGAAGAAATAAATCATCTGGCTGTGTTCTCACATGATTTCTGGATTACAGAGAATACTGGATTCAGCCTCTACCAATTGGCATCTAATTTTGGATGGGTGCTGTAAACTGAAAGCTTCCATAGCCAATTTTCACTCCCCATTTCTCTTTTTAAGCAAATGCTTAAATAGTTATTGTTGCTTCTTGGTTGAAAATTTACACCTTATTCCTTATTAGAGAGGTCTTCTGGAAAACAAATATGATTCAAGTATAAAAAAGTCTTAATTTTAATGTTTGTTTTTTAAAATAGCACAATAAACATTCATATACCCCAAAAATGTAATGTTGGGACAACATTTTTGAAAATGGCTCAGTGAATTTGGCATGGGAACCTAACACTTTTATATTACAATGAATAGAAATAGATAAAGATCAGCTAGAGAAATGTAACAAATGACTTGCCTGAGTGTAATGGTCACACACTTTGCCGCAAGTGTTAGCGGCGTAATTATAGTACTTGACCTCACTTTGCCAACTGGTGACGGCCGCAGTCGCAGAAAATAATGAAAGGGAGCCAGTCCACAAGTTTTCTCCAACTGGATTAAAAGTGGGATGGGCCTGTCCTTTTTTCTTGAGATAGATATTGTGTTTAAACAGGCATTTCTTTGCCCATGCCTTGGCGGTTTTTGCCAGATCTGGGTCCCAAGTCTGTAAAATGTAACAACAGACACACACATCATTTAGAGTCACAGTTATGTAATGTAGAGAAGCTGCCTGGAAAGGCCACTGGGAGATGATGTAGATTTGCTCGGTCTTGGCCACCTCTGAGAGAGAATCAAACAATAAACAGTTCTGTGTATTCCTTTATGATAAGCCTGACCACTCATTCAGCATCTGTTCTGCTGTGTCTGAACTCACAAGTTTAGAAGTTAGATGCTAAGTTTGATTGGAACATAAGTGTAAACAGATAAATTCTTCTGTTTAAAAAATAAGTTTCAGGAACATTACAGGTACTATAAAGGAGACTGCACACACACACACACACACACACACGCTCTACAGTCAAAATAAGCACCTCATCAATGTATTTAGGTGCAGCCCTTTGACTTTCAGAGTCAGGTGAATTGCATACCATGAGATAAATTTATAAAGTTGCTGGAGCTCTAGCCACGGGCTTGGACCAAAACATTTTGTAAGTGGAAATGTTTGTTTTGAATCCATGTTTGTATAAGCAGATATTCATTTGCATATGTAAATGAAGCAGATCTGAGAACTGCTTAGACAGGCATTTGCACAGGAGTTGGGAATGTTTTTGCACATACAACTTGCTGGAATGAGGGAGTTATGCCTTTCTGAAAGTTCAAATCTGTGAGTTTATATCTATATTATGTTTTATAGTTTCCTTTTTATATGTTTCTGCATACTTTTTTTAAAATTTGATTCGAAGTAGAATTTCTACAGCGAACCTTACACCTGCATTGGTCTCTGGTGAATTATACTTCTTATTGTCAGATTAATAGCAACTGCTCTGTTAAAGGCTATTCGCAGAATCCTACTTTACTTAACATACCCAAATAGTAGTTATGTACAGTTAGTGATCCTATTCCATGTGCGGTGTGGATACACAAGCATCCACATGGCTATTGAGCCTCCACCATAGGCTGAACTCTGGCCAAGCAAGTACATACATCAGTAGGAATCTTTCCGTGGACTGTACTGGGGTCTGGAGCAGACCCAGAGACTGTTTTATTAGAAACTACAACTGGTGAACAGGGAAAAAAAAAGGTAGCCAAACACCATTCACAGTGAAGAATTTGACTGCATGCATTCCTCAATAATGCTTAGGTGCAGAGAGGATTGATGAAGCCATTGTGCTGTAGGCTGTTGACTACAGAAATTGATGTGCCTTCATGTTATCACTTGTATGGGCCACTAAGCTTGGAAGGACCTTTTAGATTTGTAGATAATTGAACCATAACCTCCCAATAATGTGTATAATAATGCTAACATTAACATTTCTTTAGATGATGGAGTTATTACAAACATATTCAGCAGTGCTGCTTGTATTTCTTGCAATTTGCATGCAAATAAAAAGGAAGTAGTGTTTTGTATATACTTCCTTTTTAACAAACAGTAGCCTTAGTTAATTCTGTTTCATTTTATGTCTCTACCCAGAATTCAGACCTGAGATAAGGGTGTCAGGTGAAATAATGTAATCCTTTTGCCTTAGTCGTTCATCTGCAGCTTTGAAGTGGTTCACGGTATGTGGTTTTGAATGAACTTTTATTTCACAACGGAATTGTATCACATCTCAGTTTCTCTACTTCAAATCCCTCATAGTAAAATAAAAATTGGGGGGGGTCATGATTTTTAGTTATTGTATTAGCTGCAATATTTTTTTAATGCACATCACAAATGAAACATCATATGTGTGTTTAATGTAAAGCAAATCTGCACATAATTGCCGCAGTTTTAAAATGCTGCCTCCTTAGTATGATATAGCTAGGTTCACAGATTTCATAGACATTAGGGCTGGAAGGGAACTCCGAAGATCATCGAGTCAAGCCCCCTACCCGAAGGGCAGGAAGTCAGCTGGGGTCATAGGATCCCAGCAAGATAAGCATCCAATTTACTCTTGAAGGTGTTCAATGTAGGTGCTTGAACCACCTCCGATGGCAGGCTGTTCCAGACCTTGGGGGCTCGGACAGTAAAGAAATTCTTCCATATGTCCAGCCTGAAATGGTCTTGCAGTAGTTTAGGACCATTCGACCTCATCATCCCTTGGGGCGCTCTGGTGAACAAACGTTCCCCCAGATCCTGGTGGTCACCCCTGATAAACTTATAGGTGGCCATCAGATCACCCCTCAGCCTGCACTTTTCCAGGCTAAAGAGCCCC